ATTATTATAAAGCACTAAGTGGAAAAAATTATAACCAATCAATTTCAGTTTAATAAGAAAACAATGCCATGCAATTAAAAATAAAATTGCAGACACGAGTAAATGGTCATGGTAATTTGAGTAAAATTATCTTTAAAACTTTCGAAATGCTTTTGGATATAAAATTGTTTTTCTGTGACCAGATATTGTAAATAACGAATGTTATCACCACACAAAGACTCAATGGATATAAAAATTAATTTTGGTAGATGTGAATAATAATATGCTCGAGGCACCTTCACTCCCTTTAAATCCTTTGCACATCACACCTTCGTTCGAACATATTTGTAGTTGTACACCATTGCTTTTCTTATTAAGAAAAAGACTAATTTTGAACACTTTCAGTTAATCTTCACAAAGATTTCTGAAAGCAAATTAAATTTCTTAAAATAGTAAAGAATCAATGATTTTTAACTTTCATAACAAAATAATTTAAAAGCGTGCCTTGATATCTCTCAAAGGCTTTTAAAGAGAATGATGCGTTGAAAAATAGATTTTTCCATTTGAAACATTAGCACCCTAGTAGGTGTAGTTTTCTCGTGCTACAAGTTATTTATAAATTATTCTCTCTTGCCTTCAATTATCACTACAACTTTACTAATCAGAAACATTGGCATAACAGCAAACAGTCACATGAATTAAAAAAAAAAATGAGAATTTATTGCATATGCGGTTATTACTTTTCTCTCTAGAAAAATCTCTTAAAAAACTTATCGCCACTGAATGGCACTGTTGTGTCTAAAAATTTACATAGTGTAGGTAAAGTATCTCTCAGTGCAATGAAAATTCCTTTTATCTTGTTTATGAGTCAGGTCGTGTATATAAAACCGGATTTTATCCTTTAAATTGCTCTATTGCGTTGTCTTTTATAGCACAATACAACAATTTAAATAACAACTTCAAAAGTTACCAATAAATTGGCAATATTAAATGATTATTTTCAGTTTATTGATGAGAATTTTTTTTCTCAAAAATTACCAATTTATTTATTTCCGAGAACATTATAAAATCGGAAAAAAGGTTAAAACTTAAATAATTCCAATGAATTCTCTTTACGAAATTACCTTTGATGGAAAAAATTTCCATTGATGAATTTAAGAGAATTTATTTTGAATTTTTGGAAAGGTTTCAAATTTATACTTTGTTTAATGAAAAGAGATTTCTTTGAAGCAGTCTGCGGAGTATAGAAAATAAATTCAAAACATGATAGTATTCGAGTCTCTTTTTACATAATATGATAAAAGGTACCGATGCAAATTCTCTTAACTCTCACAATTCTACAGGTATGGAAAAATTCTTAGATATGTGAAACAAATTTAGAGCTAGAGAGAATAATTTTAATGTTGGCGAATATATTTTATTAGAAATGTTTTATACTATATCTGAAGTTTATATCTGCAAAATAGCGAACATTAAAGTCTTAGAGCTTTCTTAAAATTTAATTTTTGTTCAAATTACCAGTAAAGTCTAAACATCCCTAAAAGTTAAAATGGCATTGCATTTGATTCTCTGTTATACTATTTCGTTTTTAACTGATTCGGCACACTAAATTTTAACGCAATTTTTTCCATTCCAGACAATTTGTTTTATGTAAAGGTAATAGATCCCACATGTAAAACGTGTGCTAATTACACTATTCGAAAGGGCGGTCGAAAGAGTTAAACGAATTCCAGTACTAATGCATACCAAGACAGGAGATAAATTGGAATTAAATCAAAAATTCAAAAAAATTGGTACAATAATATTGAAACCGTCCTTGTCAAGACTCACATAATTGTGTGTATGTAAACAATTGTGACATGCAAATAAAAAATTTAGGTTAAAATTCTTTAGCGTAAACTTTCAGCAATATGTAAAGATTTTATTCACCAGAAATAAAAAAATCAGTTAAACATGAGAATTTCATGAAAACAAATAATCACTATCCCCAATTTTCCAATATAATAATGAAAATTTAGTGTAACCTGCAGCATACACGTACGAGCAAAGGGACATTCAAATATCCATGTGTGCATTTTGTATAAGCGTTCCCTCTATACATAACGTTATTAGAATTCAGAGGATGTTTGTTTTTTTTCATCACAAATTATCATATTTGCACATGTGCTCATATGTGAATATTTTGTTTTTTTTTGTAATAAAATTGAAATGAATGCGGAATGAGAATAATAAGGAAATTATGGAAGGATATTTTGCAGAGGGACATTGTCACGTGATCTTTTTTATTGAAAAATACAAATTTTTATGTTGCCCTGTAAAAGTGTAAATTTATATTAAGCGGTATATTTTGCAAGAATTGTGTTATGTAGGGTCTAGGGATATAGTTTTCATATTTCAAAATGTGATATGAATTTTTAGTTCAAATTCAAATCATCAATTTGTAAAAAGACGCACATAGGGCAATGTTATTTTTTTGCTGTAATTTAATTTAAATAAGAAATTGAGCCTAATTAATGTAAATATAAAATTGATATTAGTTCTTCTCCTGCTTCTTGCTAGTAAAAAAATTATAAGCTCAAATTGATTAGAATTAAGATATTAGATAGGATTAGAATTTAATAAATTAGATAGAAAAAGTTTTCAAAATTTTACAGAGCAACTGGCGTTCAAACTTCCGTGTTCCTTCAATAATTTTATTAATTCATATCTAAAATTCTAAATTAATCATAAAAGCCATTTGACCTGACTAACTCAAAATCACAAAACAGTGAATTATTCACATTTGTACAAAATCTTAGCTCTAGTTCGCTAATTGGTATTCTATCACAAATCAACCCGGGAGAATAAACTTATTACAAAATATAATCAAGTAAATCTAGTAGTCAAAACTTTAGTAATTTCGGCATTTTCCTGGTTATTATAAGGCCAACATGCCTTTTAAAACATATAAGGGAATTAAAACTTCTTATTCTCTTCATTGCAAAATATGAATGGAGAATGAGACATTCTCCTTCTTCAAGGAAGGCCTTATACATATACTAACCAGTCTATAGAAATTTAATCGAAATGTTGTCGGGCTCATATAGTAGCTATTATACAATTTCGATAACGATTTGTTTATATACTTCATAGAATATTAGAACTGTTAAGTTTACATATTTCATCGAAGGCTTATGAATAAAAACCTCTATCCAACACAAGAAAAAATTGCAAAATATTTTGCAATAGAAAATACCAACAATATTTCTATTTATTGGGCCTAATTGACCCGAATGTATCCTCGGGCAGTCGCGTGAACCTAAACCTAGCCTAACCAATAATTGATTTTATAATTTGCATAAGAACTATATATCACTTGAATTGGGGAAATTAGGCCCTTTGTGATACCGCTAGATTTCCATATCCCTATTTTCACTTGAACGAGGCCGAGTTCTTTATAAACCAGTTTAGGTCCCTGGAATTTACATTCGCCAGTTCCGTAACAATAGCTCCTGCAGAGATCGTTAGGGCCTGTTCGCCAATCACAGTGTGTATAGATATAAGTTTTCTGATAGATATCAGATATCAGATTTGCGTTGCGTCACTCGTCTAGCTTAGACCTAAATTGTCCGGTCGCCCGGCATATCGTTCCATATTGTTACTTACTTGTTGGACCCCAAGAGTCGTTCCATGCCTTGTGACCTCATCCGCCCTGCAGGTTTTCTTGAATTTCGCTGTAACCCGGAACCCAAATCAGATTAATTTTAGACAATTATGCCATATTAAGAAATAATCTGAAATCCTGAATCGTTCTAGAAGTGGACGTCTCATCTGCCAACGCCCTTATCACTCTCTGACTGTCCGTGAAAATGCTCGTACACCTACATGATATCATATTGCCCGCCAGCCATTTCTGGTTCGATTATCACAGGGAAAAATTTCCTTAAATATTGATTTGTACTTCAAATATCGCCTAGCGTATTAAACGAACTTTCTGTATAGACAACAAAATGTGAATATTGACTAGCGTCTAAGTAATTTAATAAAAATTAAACGTTCACACTTGGTTCTATATTGGTAGTAAACCGTATTGTAGTTTTGCAAATAGTTCACAAACAATTTTAGTTATGGCGATTTTCAGTTCCTACAAAAAAGGTACAAGAAAACTAATGCAGATCCTTGAAAGTAACTTGCGTTTTAAAATTAAATTATACTCCAATCTAAAAAAATTGAGAACAAATTCACAAAATAAAACCCCTTGAAATTTTTTAAAGCAGGATTATTCTGTCCTCGTTTTGAATGCAAATATTTTTGAACATATTGATTGTCGAAATTCAATTGAAATTACAAGAGCTTCAAAAACTACCATGGAACAAAATTAAATCAAATATTTTACTACTTTTTTAAAAATTTTTTTTCGTGATACAAAATGTTTTGATTTTAATTAAATTATTTAAGTGCCATCATAAAAATGATTGAAAATTTTAAGTACCTAAGTGTACAATTTAAAATTTTGAAAGCAATTCACGGTTAATAAAATTAAAAGCAGCAGCAAAAAGTCAAGAAAATTCGAAAAATATTCAAATAATATTTTTCACATATAATTATTTTATAAATTAAAATTACCTGAATGTTACCGTTATTTATACCTATAAAAAAAACTTATTAACAAATTCCCACTCAAAATTTCTATACAAACATACAAAATACAATTATGTGTACGTGGTTTCCAAAAAAAAAATTTCTTCAAAATTAATTCGATAATATAAAAACTATCGCTTTCGATAAACAATTAACCATTGTTTCAATTTCACTTCAATAGTTCATTACCGTTTTACTAGTGCGATTGTGTTTACTGTTATATTCGTAAAAATACTTAAGATTATTAAATAAGAGTTAAAATTTTATCAAAAAAAATTTACGATAATTAATTTACGATAATTAATTTACGATAATTAATTACAAATATTATCAAAGGAAATTATTTTTAAAGTGTTCTGAAATATTAAGGAAGTGTTAAAGTTAATAAAAAAAAATTAAAAATGTCAAAATTATTTGCCGCTATTGCTTTAATTTGCATTTTACTTAATAATTCTGTAGCACAAATTACTTATCATACAGATCCAAATACAAATTCATATTTAGTTAAAACACCAGGATCAACTCAAACTTTTACTAAATATTTTGGTGGACAAAATGGTGCCCTTCTAGCAGCTCAAACACAATCACATCAAAATCCACAGCAATTATTGACACAACCGAGTCAACATCATACACAGGTATATATTTATCTTCCATTCTAGAACTTAGATTAATGACAGAAATTCGAGTTAATTTAGAGACTGCTTTCAGTATACTCGCAACACTACCCTATCTAGTTAGTTACTAACCAGGGCAGTGTTCAAAGAATGTAAAATTTACTTTACCTAGATCAAAATTTATTAATCTTAACCAATTTTTTAACTCATAAATTCTTAAATATAAAATCACCTTCCTAAAATCTTTACAATTTCTACTAATTTCTCTTTAATTTTTTTAAATAAATAAATTACAGTACACCACAACACCACAACATTATTATTCACAACAGCAACAGCAACCACAACAACAACAGCAATATGATTATCAACAGGCATATAGAGCAGCACTATTAGCGCAACATCAACAACAACAACAAGCTACTGCTGCAAGTCATCAATATAGTCAATATGCTGATCCACAAGAATCTGCATATTCAAATGCTGCTCAACTACAACAACAATATCAACAGCAACAATATGCTTTACAGCAAGCTACATTAGCACAACAACAAGCAGCTGCATCACAACAAGTATCACATCAAGTTCCAGCACCGCATCATTCACAACAACAGCAAGATCAACAACAGCAGCCATCACAAACCCAGCATTTATTAGGCGTTCAATATTCACCATCAACACAAGTTTCGACTGTTAAATTTTCGAATGGTGGCGGTTTAGCTTATAATTTTTAAGAAATTGGAACTGAATACAAGGCGTAGAATGAAGTTGGAAAAGACTTTTTTTTTGTGAAAATTTCGTGATTGGAGAAATTTTTCCTTTTGATTTTGTATTTATTTTTTTATGTTTTCGAAAAAAAAATTTTAAATATTTTTAAAAATGTTTTTTTTTTTTTTTGTAATAAAATATTTTTGCTAAATTTCTAGTAAAATTTATTCTTATTATTGAACTTGGAGTCAAATGGGAATACAAAGTTTAAATTATAATCAGTGTGCTTCATTGATAAATTGCATTGGGTACTGTTCATGAATTCAGCAATATTTAATTTGTGTTTCCTGAGTATGCTTTTTAAAAAAACATCACAATATCGCTTCCATAAACTTTCCACAAAAGTATATTACAGCATTTGCAATTTATAGGGGAAATGACCTCTTAAAAATAACTTGCGTCACAATTTCCGACTTTCTATACTATACAAGTACAAAATTGAAAAAAGCGTTGCGTACAGATTGAAAAATAATTTCGGATTTCAAAAGTGTTATTTGCAATGCAAGTTTCAAAAGCATTAATATCACAAATAAATAATATGAATATCGTCTAAGTTTCTAAATTAAATCTAATAATTGGACTGCAGCATTTTTGAATTCAAGAAATTTAGACAGTCTATTTTGTTTCTGCATTATCTGCAATACCAAAAACCAAATTCATTGCCTTACTGAAATTTTTCTTAATAAGAAATGGTGGCTGATTTTCTATACTCATGCCCAGCTTTGCCGCGGGGAGGACGGAGGTTCCTTAGATCGCATTTCTTTTTGCGAGTTACGGACCTGACGAATGCAAATGCCAGAGACCTAAGCCGATTTATAATGGACTCGGCCTGGTTCACGTGAGCGTGGGAAAATGGACATCCACAAATATCACAAAGGGCCTGATTAGCCTAAGTGTATTCTCGGATGGCCGCGTCAACCTAAACCTAAACCTTAGCCTATTCATAATTTATAATATTTCCAATACACTAAAAATTTTTAAAACTTCGCAATGCCATAAACAAATTAATCATAAGAAAAATACAGCAGTTGAAATTTCATTTTGCAAATTTTCCGATAACTCATACTTCCCTATATCTTTGATGTATTTACGTAACATTTTGATAAACTTAAATATGTGAAACTCTATACCCTAATTATGTACATAAATCTAAACACACACATATCTCTTTGACATGCAAATTAATTTCACGCATAATTTATAGTTAAATGTCCAAAAATGCCATTTCAATTATATTTTAATATAAAATGTTTTCTTTATTTGATGAGGTTCAGAATATTATAGTAATTAATAATATTAACAAATTAATTGTTCGTGTAAAATAATACCATCAATGGAGGTCACAAAAGGACACCAAAATTTTGTTTACTATTATGCGTAAAATATTATCAGAAGTAGGATAAAATGATATCCTTGGCAATATTCATTATAAAAATAACCTGTAAATAAAATATTATTATTTGTGACATTGTGGAGGGACACAAAGAGATGTCACGAGACCTATATGATAAATTTTGGGAATAACATTTTTTAAATTCTTATGTAGATAAAAAATTTATGAAATTTTAATGTATACGACGTACGTAATAGGTATATGAGTTAAATTGGTAAAAATAAATTCCAGCTACGAGTATTTTTGATTTTATTTAAGATTTAGGTAAATTAAAATTTTGAAAATATAAACAAGAAAATTCCATAATATTTTTGCAAAAGTATTAAATTATTCAAACAAAGAGATTGGCATAGGTTTAGTTCTTGCTTTTTTAAAATACTCAGAGTTGTTGTTCTAAAATGTTCAGGAAACAATTAACATTTTATTAAAATTGCAAAATTTGTCATTTAAATTTTAAGTTCAATTCGAAGGGAAAAATTTACTGCCTTGGGAGTCAATCGAATTGATTGCGTCAACTCTGTAAAACTTGATGAATGACTAATACTAGAAACTATGAATAAATGTAATTCATTTACCCTGTAAATCTTTATTTCGAGAAATTAATTCATTCTTATAGCACAGCACTATTACAGCACTATTGCTTGAATATTTCTCTTTAATTGAAAATAAAATATGACAAAGGCGAAAAATCAATTAAATATTATTGTGATGTTCAAAAATATTGCATATATTTAGGCGATCGACTTTCTATTATTTTTTCATATTATTAAGTACAATTTTTTTCTCAATGTTGTGTATTGCATTCCATCAAACACGATGGAATAAAACATTTAATTAGGCAAGATATAAAAATTTCAATAGTTTGTAATTGTAATGAGATTATCAGATGTACATATGTACATGCGTATATAAGAAAAATATTGAGATGTAGCAAATAATTTATACGCAATAATTTGTGCTGCTATAAAGTTAGAAAAGAAAATAAAAGTAAAAATAGTTCTAAAATCCGAGACTTATTTGCAGAGTTCGTAGCACATATTTTTTCACAGGGTAGGGGAGCTAATCCTACGCCCAACTCCCATCTTTGGGCGACTGTATTGGGTCCACTGGGCATTTAATTGTTTTGTTTTAAGAATGCACGAAAACAGAGCCCAAAATCGAATATTCCTCAACAGACCGCTTGTAGCCATAGCAAGAGGTAGACCGAGATTAAGATGAGAAGACAACATCCATATTGGAAACTACATAAAACCTAATTGGAAACAACGTGCCAAGAATCGAAAAGAATGGAGGTCAGAAGGCTAAAACCCACCCCTGCTTGTAAAGCTACAAAGAAGAAGAAGTTGAAAAATATTTGAATATAGCTTATAGCAAATAAAATTTAAAAAAAAATGTATTATAACTTGTATTTCAAAACTAAAGCAGCTCTTATTAGAAAGCCAAGCAATTAAATGTTAATACGAATGCAGTTAGCAATGTCTTTAATAAATCCACAAAATTTCAAAATCACAAAAAATAAGGAAAATTTTCTACAATCTCAATTTACCTTATATGGGCATCTGAACAACTCGTGAAAATAAAAGTATTTCTCAACCCACTTTTGAAGTTTCCAAAATAAGTAAATGAAAACAAAACATTTCGCTCTATAAATAAAAAAATTTAATTAAAATAAATTTAAATTTACAAACAAACTTATTTGGCAGGATAATTACCGTAGATTTGCTTTCAAAACAACAATTTGAATTTGGAAAGTGTGCTGCTGGGATGAGATGAAAATATAAAAGTTTCTCAGAACACAAACCGGAAAAAAATTAATTTTTCACGTTCTCGGTGACATTTCATATTTTTTTTCAGTAACACTTACTTGAAAACTTTATGGAGTTTTCCAAAATGTAATTTTTTTTAAAAAATCTTAATTTATTTTTTTTGATTAAAAATAGCAAAAAAGTTCTTTCTTTTGACAACTGAAGAAAAATTGTGAAGACTGGCGGCATAATACCTAAACATCATAAATAAATCAAGTTTTTACAGTTATGATGAATACTCCAAATATTTCTTAATTCTAATATGGAGGAAAAATTCTCGTGCACAAATTTTATTGAAAAGAAAAAGTAAGAAGTTTTCGTAATTTGTGAACTTCTTTTTTTGTTTAAGATTCTTTTATTTTCTCTCTGCGATATCGTAGTAATTTCCTGAAGAGAAAGATTCAGTGCTTGAATAACAAATTAAGTTTCATTTGACGATAAATTTGTATACGTTGGATTGAGGTTTTCCTTTCAGATTAACTCAATATCGATGTATTTTACAATTGAAAGCTTTTGGTATTTGGAAACTTAACTAATAAAATTTGTAACCTGTCTACATACAAACTTCTGTCTTTCTTTTATAAATTTCACAAACTATCTCATAAATTTTCTAATTCACACAAATATGATGAAAATGTTTGATTCTACTATATTTTTTTTTTAATCTTGACAACTTTTCCTTTAAGTCGATCTTCAATAGAAATAAATTGCTTTCAGTTGTATTTTTGCTCATTTACCACTTTATCCAAGATACAATCCATCAGCATGAACACCTCATCAAAATTCTTTAGTTTAATCTGGATAAAATTACGTCACATATATGCTATAACTGTCATTGAGAATTAAATGGCTAATTTCGTCAGAAACTAGAAATTTTTAAAAAATTCTTAAATTTCAATGTTTTTTAACTTCTATGTAGAAAAAATGACACATTTTCGAAATTACCTGTTTACCAATTCTTCAATTAGAGGCAATTGAAGTTCACATCGTGTTAAAAACTTTAATATAAAAAATGTCAAATTTCAAATCTACTGTTTATTATTATGAAAGTGGCACCTCACGGTAAAAAAGTAAACATAAGAATAATTTTGTTCAATACTCTAAGCCACGAAAAGCGAAAATTGCTTTCACGCAATACTTAAATTCTTTATATATTTGAGAAAAAAGAACTAAATATATCTATATTTGGTTTATTTTTCTCATTTTATTATGACATTAGCTATACTGACACCATATTCTGAGACCATTTATTTTCTTTAATAATATATTCATAAAATAATATAAAAAGTGAAAAATAGTCTAATATTAGAAATTTCCCCTTGTACTTTTAGATTTTCTCATAAATTAATGCTCTTAACTAAAATTTTATTAACAATTCACCATATTTAATACTCGTATACGTAACGTATAACATATGTACGTATAATGTGAACAATATAAATATTGAATTAAAAGGAACATGTATGTAAGTACATTAAAAATAATGTTATACCAATACTTTTGACCACACGCCCATTTAACATCCATAAAAATGATTTATTCGCTAATATGATTTTACTTTTAGAGACTTTTGTTTTCAATAAGTACTGGAACAAATAAAATATATAAAGTCTTGCACAAACATATTAAAAAGGCCAATAACATCATGTTTAATATTATCGAGTTTATAATAGGTTAGGTACATACAGCCATATAAAATTATATAAGTAATAAAAGGATAATGGGTAATATAAAATACTTTAAGAAATAAAATCTTTGTGATGTACGAACGATAAGTGAAAGTTTATTAGAAGAGCATGTCAAAATAATAAGTAAAATATTTTAATATCAATATTTTGATCTTATAAAACACACTCGTTCCATAACAATTTTAACACCAACACACAATGTGCTAAAAAATATAAAATTCTTATTAAAAACAGAATGACCTAATGACCGCTGACATTTTTGATTTTATGGTTTTTATGGAAAAAATTCATATGTCATGAAAATATCTCAAATAAGATTCTTGTTAAGGTCGTTTCGGTATAACATACTTTTTAAATTGACGAAGCTGAGGGTTTAAATTTTTAAAATATTTTTCATATTTAAATCAAATTTGAATTATGAATGTCGTTAATGATTTATTTTTAGATTTCTTTAAATTCATTAAAATAGAAAATTATCAATATCAAAGGTTCTCATTATGTCATTTTGAAATTGAAGGACTATGACTGAATTTAGAATAAAAACGTCTTGTATCTCACATTTTTCCTCATAACAGGAGCAAGGAAGCAAAGGAGTATCATGTATTCGCATTTCATATCGCTTTTTTTAAGAGTTCGAATGCAATTATATAAAATTATAAGTTTTGTGTGTTGAGAAAAAATGGCAATTAGGAAAAAGTAGCATTCGACTTATAAAAAGGATTGCAATCTAATTTATATAATTGAAAAACAGACATGTAATTCAAAAATAAAGATATGCTGGTCTTCTTATTGGTTATCATAAAGGAAAATTCAAAAACTTCCTTATAATCGGCGAAATTATTAACCACGATGGTAATCTAAACACTTAGATTCATTACTAAGATGCAGTTAAACAACAAGTAAACTAGGAAATTTTGTTTATTTTTAACCTAAGAACCTAAAATAAGTTTAAAAAAGCAAAACTTCACGAATTCTAGTAATCAGTTCTAATAATACGAAAGTTCAAAATAATTATGATTTGAGAAATCATTGAAATTCTAACAGGTAAGAGTAGCAGATGTGACTTTTTTAGAATTTGTCTATATTTTATATTAAGGTTAAACAACACAACAAATTAATACAAGAAATTCACTTGAAAATAAAGACTTTTCTAAAAAGTAAAAGATTTATTCGACAATTGAAGAAAAGCTAGAGTTCTTAGTGTTCATAGAGGTTTTCACGAGAGCGACCCAATTCTCGGGATAGTCATTTTGGACGTTTGTTTTCTACAATATAACTTCTATCGAGGATACGGAACAGTGTTTACTGATCGACGCAGGTTGGGAGAGAGTGGTTCAGTTTTTAAGACTTGTTTTAGTGTTTGGTACACTGGAGAGTCCAAAACAGACTCGGGAGTGAGCTCGGAAGCGAACCCAAGTCACTTCCAAACTGATTTGGAGCTAATTTAGAGCTGTGCAAACAGAGTAACGCTTATTTAGTTGTCAGGCCACAGTGGGTACAAGGGCAACGAGATCCCGGATGGGTGACGATAAAAATGTTGGGCAACTCACGTCCAACTCCCTGAGAAATATCTTCAGATATTTGCCTGGAACCGGAGTAATTTGAGTAGGATATGGGAATTCCACAATAAAAGCCTTTTTCATGTATTTTGTAACTGATTGTGTTATTATTTATCCCGACCCGAAAATTATTGTAATTTTCTTTTCAATTAAATCTAAACTTTAAAATCACTTTGCTAAAAACGTAAGTTTCTTCTTCTTTGTTTCTATTAAAATTATTCAAAATTTCAATTTGTTTGTAAATTTTATACTTTACTCAATAATTTACAACGAACCCTTTAAAAAAAAAAATCGACGCAAAATTTTTTATTTTAAAAAATACTCAATAAATTAAGAACTCCCTACCAACTTAAAAGCGAAAATTTTTCACTATAAAGAAAACTTTAATTTTCTTTTTCACTAAAATTTCTTCAACTACGTGCTACTATGCCCTAAAGTAACCTAAATTATAATAAAAATCAATAACAGCAAACAAAAAACAAAGAAATAGAAAAATAAGAACACAAATGGGATATCCTTTTTCCCATTTCCACTTTAATTCATAATAATATCCTTTATAAATATTCTATATATGTAAAATTGCATTACTATCCTGTTAACGTTAAAATTTTTATTTAAAAAATATTTAAATAATATTCTGTATAGCGAGAATTTTTTTTTGTTAAACAAAGTAAAACATGAGAAAGGATAATATGCTTTTATAACTATTTAACTTTATGCAAACTAAAAGTAAATAGGGGTTAAATACCTATATGTTATAGGAGTAGATAAAATATCATTATAGTATAAATTTCACACCCAACTATTATAATTGGTGATGGTATTTTTCTAAATTCACATGAACATCTCAAGGGAATGGAAAAAAATGTCCTTTTATTTTACAAAGTTATCTTATCACTTTTTCTGCTACGTGAAATAGTGAACGTAAATTTATCATGTTAAATGCATATATGCTAGTATATCGAAAGCCTGATGACTAGAATTAAAAAAAATTTGTTTTTGTTGATGGTGGAAAAGAAAAATGACTATAACTTGCTATATTTGCATAGAAAGTACCTTTTTTAGCGTTGGGATAACCACATGACTAGTACATTTTATGTTTGTTTGCAAAACTCAGAGATTCTGCAAATTCTAGACTCACCCTCAGAGCTGAGAATAATTGGAATTCAATGTAGTAATATGAATTTTCTCTAAGTTTTCTTAAAATTTCGTGCAACCATTACTGATTTCAAGGCCAACTGTAGTCTTCACTATAACCACAAGAATTATTTTATGTAATATTGTAGAACCATGCCCAAAAAAATGTGTATATTTGCTTAAAATCTCTATAGCAATATGCTTAAATTAATATAAAAAGTAAATCTGAGCTATTTCCTACAAAATTTATGCAAACTCCGTTAATTTAATTCTATTCCTAAATTCAATGCCATTAATAATACCGCAAATCTATTTAAAATTAAACGCGACACAATACAAAAATTTTTGTATTAAACCTGGAGAGAATTCAACAATAATGTCTTAGATCGAAATGGAAAATTTATAACACCCTTCCAACAACATTTATTTACTTTGAGAATACCTAGATTAACTTTAAAATGTTGTCAAGTAAAATTTATCATGTTAAAGTAAAAATATTTCCTTAACAAAGTGTCGTTCATTGAATTATGAAAAAAAATTTAAGTTGAAAAGAAATTGCATTTTGATTTTATGATGCAATCTCATATTGCAACGAGATTTTCTTCACATTATTTCATTACATAGAGAACGTTGAGTTTACTAAATATTTCCATTTTCTTTTGAAAGAAAGTAATTTTGAATTTGAAAATGATGATAAAATTGAATTGTACATAATACAAATTTATAAATTTTCTTACGATGCCATAATGCAAGTACATTGCATCTATCTTTTGATTGAATCTACATACGAAACTTTTTTCAATATGGTGTTACTAAAGTTAACTAGAATCGAATTACAATTTAAATTTTATAATTTTTAAAGTCTCCAAATCATTTTCGTTTTAGAAAAATATATATTTTTAATAGACAACTTTAGCTAGAGGAAAAGATTATGCTAGAGATTATGACTGAATTTGAAAGAAAATGTTTATTAAAATCTACGAGTATTTGAAATTAGAGGACAGAAAAAGCTCTAAGCATATCTTTTGAGTTTGCTAATTTTGTGCCTTAGAAATTTATCGAACGTGCTGCTTTGCAGTTTTGATTTAACGAAGATGCTTTATATTAAGACCTAAGTTAGAAATGAATTATCGAAAATTTTGACAATCATATGACTTTATGAATTTCGACTCACACAAAATATTCATTTTCTTATATAAAATTTTCTACCTTAACTGTTGTAGAGCGGCAGTGTTTAAACTCTAGTTGAATTTGAAAAAATTTGTACATCGTAAAATAATTTTTGTTAAAAATCATCTGCTTAATATTAGATTATAAACAATTTTATGGAAAATTTATTGAAATTGCCAATTATTCAAATACAGAGAGATTCGCCTGCTTTGAAAATTATGTATAAATGCTTCTAGTAATGCTGCACCACACGATTCTTACTTTTGTTTTACTAATAACAAATATCATAGACCAATTACTTTATAGAACCTGCATAATCAATTGCGGATTAACATTAGCAGTAATATTAGAAAGGAATCATTTATCTAATCTGTTAACTGATCCAAGGTGATTATTTGCATTACTCAATTAATTTCCCATTATTTTATTTTGCAATAAAATAAAGTAATTATGCGTATACAAAAATTGCTTTACAGAATTGGCGCCTCATTGAATTTTAGATTTTTTTTAATTTTCGGTCATTGTTCAGTTTGGGTTTAACAAGCTTGCTTTATCTCTAATAAGAATTTTAATAGAGTTCTACTTTGAAAGATTTCCTGACCCAATATCATTTACGATGTGTATGTACTTTAATTTAAGTTTCATTATCGAGAAGGAAAATTATCTCTTGCATCCCATAAAAATTATTTGAATTTATTAAAATGGAATTGTACTTTCTGTTAAGTCTTGTTCAGGTTCTCATGCATTATTCAAAAAACTTCACAAGTTTGTTTTTTAACCGCGCATAATTTTATTTATTTTTTTATATTTTTTTTTGCTTTTTTCCATTCATTTAACTTACAAACTATTAATTTATTGATCGATTGTTGGTTTTTTCTTTTATTTAAATCGTTCGTTTTTTTGACAGAAGAAATGTCAATATTTAAATATACACATATATAAATATTCAATATAGTAACACATACATATATGTAAAAAAAAATGCATTAAAAAAAAATGAAGAGAAAAAAAATGAGTATAGGTTTAGAGTTCACTGCAAATTCTTTTGTATAACGAGTAAATGTACGTATATTGAAATGAGTTACAATAATAAAATTAAAAAAAAAAAAAAAAAACAAAATGGTGGAATTCGATGTATTTTTTGTTTTTTTTTTTTGAATTTATGCAGATGAGTATTACAGAGGTTTCATTACATTTTTGAAATCACCATCATGACATTCAATAGTTGGCAGTGTTTGTTTTACTTTCATTATTTAACACTTTTGATGAAATTATATTTTAAGATTTAATAAGCAATATGATGTCCATGTGCAGCAACAGCAGTATGTACAAGTGGAGCAGCAACAGCAGCCCTAAAAATTAAACCCATATTAATTTCATAGTTATTATATTGAAATGAAAAATTTAAAAAACAAAAAAAAAAATTTGAAATATATTACTTACTTAACAACTGGTGCAGCATAATGACCACCATATGCATAAGCTGGAGCAGCATAATGTCCACCATGACCATATGCAAGTCCATGTCCATAAGCTAAACCATGACCATAGGCTAAACCATGTCCTAAACCATGACCATATCCTAAACCATGAGCATAACCTAAACCATGTCCATAACCTAAACCATAACCATGTCCTACTAATGGTCCACCTGCAATTAATTAAAATATTAAATATATTTTTTAATTGACAAATTAATTAAAAATATTTTCTATAAAATTCATAAAGAATTCTAGTTCCATAAACATAATTTTATTTATTGTCTGGCAATTTGCTTAATTGAGAATTCACAAAAATTATTTTGATCTTAAAAATTCCCAAACACAACATACTGAGTAAAATATTATACTTCCCTCAGTTTTCCCATTAAGCCGCCAGTTAAATTGATTATATTTTCAAATATCTTCGGACTTTTTTACCCAATATGGCTTTGATATACTTTCAATTAGTTCATGGACAATAAATTGAGAAAATCTTATAGAATTTAGAGCAGCTCGATTATCAAATAAACTTCTAAAACTAAACGGACTAGCATCTTATTTTTTTAATTTATTTTCATAAGGTGTTAGGGCGTATTCAAGACTGTTTCAGTTATGTCTAGAGTATCAAAGCTTACGTTTTATGATTAAGACTGAAATTTGCTCAAAGATAAATGCAATCAAAATTTAAATTACAAAAACTCATATACATACAAAAAATTCAATATAGTCACGTGAATTCGTTCTTCTCATATTCAATGAAAAGATTTTGATTACCTCTCATATTCCAAGAATTATAGAGAAAAAAATCTATACGAATTGAAATTTTATTCATTTTAAAAATTCATACAATCCTCGAATTTTAAAAATTTTCCTATATCCTAATTCCCTGCATGTGTATGTAAATTTAGAAAAGATTTATCATATCGATTTTAGATAATACCAAATATTGAAATTCAAATATGCAAGTTAACATAAACCATAACAGAAAATATTTAATATGGTTCAATTCTATAAAATTTGATTGAAGGTCTCACAATACAACACCTTAATCAATCAGAGCATGTATTTTAAATATAATTTACGTACATACATATGCCATTTAATTTAATAACATTGTACATTGTTACCCAAAATAAAGCATAAATTTTATATTCTATATGTAAATATTATTATTTATTGGTCATAAATTTTACTATTGATATGAAATTTAACCATAGAACCATAGAAATGAATGATATAAGGACAAGTATATTACGTACATAAAATATTTACTAGTTTGTGTATTAAAAATCATAAATATTAAAAATTTATTCATAAGGATTTTTCTTTTTTTAAATTTCAATAAAAATTTCTGAACATCATTCTATCATCATTTAACTTTCACTGTATAAAGATCCTTTTCAAACCGTAAACCTAGAAAAATATTTAAAATTTTTTATTAACTGGTTGCTAGATAAAAATTCTATTTGACATGAATGTGTAATCAATCCGTAAATTATAAGGTACCCAAGCTGGTTTTTACAAAAGCAGCACTTAATTAAATAATAAATAATAAGCTGATTTTTAACAAAACCTTTTCTAGTACTAGTTCCATTGACAGATTTCGGAATTGTAGCAATACGATCATAAGCAATATTCAACTATTAAGTCATTACGTATACAGGCAGTAATACAGTCAATTTAAAAGACGCCGATTATTCAAAAATTTTGTTAAGTATTTAATAATTTTAGTGTGTTTTTGAAACTTTAGAATTATGCATTTGCAGTTCTTGGCTTGAACTTTAAGGTGCTGTTTACATATAAAACTAAATCTATTATAAAGTCTGTATGATTACTGTTCAAATGTAATGAAATTCTGATTTCACGTCAACATTTAATAATTTTGTTAAAAAAATTAAAAAAGAAAAGTCAACTCATGTGCTATTCAAAACTTCTACAAAAAAATTAATTGTTTTTACTTTTAAACAATCTGACGGTTAGTCTGATGAGAATAAAGTAGTTTCTATAATTTGCAATCAGAGTCTAATGTCAAATAAGATTTACATATTCGATTTACATCAAACTCAGATTTAATTTTAGATTTTGTCACATAACAGTAGACTAAGTCTAGGCTGCAGTCTAGTATCTTGTTTTAAACAAGAATCAAATTTTCAAAATTGACATGGAATATTAAAGATAATGGGTATGTTGACATAAAAGGGTTATGTATAACAAGCATCTGATATGATTCTATTTTTGTTTATTTTCAAACTACGCAAAACTTTCCACTTTTACAAAGCAAAACGGTAGACTAAAAAGTTGACAAAAACAAAACTCAATTTATTTCTTTCCAAAACTAAAAAGAATTTGGGTAAGAAAAAACTAAAGGAAAATGGTCACTTTAAATTCCAAAATGCATTTTGCATAAAATGCATTTTGCGCCCACGATTTTTTTAAAACTTTAAAAATGAGCTTATATTGAAAATAATTTGAAATTTCGAAAGACAAGAAATCTAGAATAATGTCATGTAACTAGCATTTATTAGATTGTAACTTATGAGGTATCACAATTTTTTGACGTTATGTTTTATATTAAATTCTTCTATCTTTCGATTACGTTTCTGTTCAAAGCAGTACCGGCAAGAAAACGGGATTTTGAAATATTTATAGTTCTTTAAAAAATTACTTTTTCTCTTTGTAAACTATGGTTTCAGCAAATTCAAAAGTCAAACTCAAAAGTCCAACTAAATTTTCATAAAAGGTTCATAAGAAATCTATGGTACGAACTCTATATAATTTGTATTCGATTGAAGTATCGGCTTTAGAAGCTGCCATACAATTCCAGAAATAATTTGGTCCAGAAATTTTAACAAGGCAATAGAAAACATTATCACAGTAAGTAAGGATATCACAGAGTTGTGACATGACACGGTCAACTCTATCATTCTCGTTTTTAATTAAAGATGGTAAAATCAAATTCAGAATTTGATATTAACTTAGATTGTGTGTTTCAAATAGTAGATTGCATGTAGCATCTCAATGTAAACAATACTTAGTAATCATGTGGATTACAATATAAAGTAATGTGAAGAACAATTCGCTGACAATTTCTTCATACCTCTGTAGCTCAGTTGGTAGAGCGTCCGCCTAAAAAGCGGTGGGTCACTGGTTTGAGTACAGTTCGAGGAGAAAAGTTTTTAATTTTTCTACCTTCTGTTCTGCAGTTGTATGAAAAAATTTCCATTAAGTTAATATTATTAGTGTAATAGGCACATTACTTATTAATTAAACAACTACACGTTGTATTAGTAATTCAGTTAAGAGTTTGATTTTAATTGAAGATGAAGAGGAATTCCTAGTACGAGTTATCTAAGAACTGAAATCTTGGGATCAATATCTACGAATCTAGTTAATATTAATTTTCCGTTTTTCAATTCATATTCTTTTAAAATCATTTTCTATTATAAAAATATTAAATAAAACAAGAAATTTTTAAAAAGAATTCATAATTTTTTACTGGCCGAATGAAATATTTTCCAATAAAAAACTTCTACTTAAACAAATTCTACTTAAAAAGTTTGTAAAACATTCTATAAGTTTTATATTTAAAAAAAAATAATCTGTTCTGTTTATAAAAAAAAAAATCAATAATTTACTGCAGTTAAGAAAATAACGTCCTACCATAGTGGCCGTGGAATCAAAAGAATTTTAATGCAGTGTCACGGAGAACGGTGCAGTTAAATTTATTGCCCTTAATAAATTTAAATATTTTTTTCAAAATTTAATAAAATATTTCAACGAGTTGGTAGCAAAATAATAAGTGGGTTTCATTATTTAATTAACATAAAAGGGCTTTACTTCTCCTACTTAATTTACATGTCTCAGTTTTAGAATTCATAGGGAAAGCGTTTTTGCATATTAATTTGCAATAATTTATGTGAATCAATGAATCAATTGTTATGTTCTCATGAACTGAAATCTATTATATTTTACAAAACATGTGCTTTGAAAGTTATCCCGATTTTGAAACAATGAACTCGTGACTTTTACTCTCAACTTTTAAAGCTCAATCACATTCGTCTAAAAATTGTCAGTTTAAAAGTTAACTTTTACTACAGCAGTTATTCGTATAATTTGTGCTTCAATTCAGCCAACTGTAGTTATTTTACATACCATGATAAACAGCTGGTGCTGCAGCTACTTTAACAGCTGGTGCTGCTACAGCTAAATGACCACCATAATGTCCACCATAATGTCCTCCATAACCATGATAAGCTGGTGCAGCAACAACAGCAGGTGCTGCATGTACAGCATGTACAGCTGGTGCATGATGTACATAGGCTGGGGCATGAGCAATTGCTGGTGCATGAGCATAAGCAACTGGTGCTGCTATTGCATGACCAACATGAGCATCATTTGTAATACTTGTTCTTGATACAGTTGCATGTGAATGTGGTGTTTCAGCTGAACTATGATATTCTGAATGGGAATTTGCACCATAATGTCCCTAAAATATTTATAAAAAAAAAAATTTCTTTTTTTGCATTATTGTTTAACAATAATTCTTATAGCTTAATTAATTTCATTTTTTCTTTATTATAAAAATGCAATAAAGGATCGCAGTAACTTCATTTTTTGCGCAATTTCTGTTGATTTTTTATTGTAGGTTTTTATTTTTTTTTTTAATGAATTTTTAATAATGTCCCGTTACAGACAAGACATGATAGAAATGAAAATTTATGTTCCGGGTAAAATAAGTGTTGCCAACCAATGGCAAACTTTTATTATGAATTTATTTTTGTAACGTGATATCAAATTTTTAGTAAGGAGTTTTGAATACCAATTGCAGACTTAAAACGGTTTTGAGAAATATAGTAAGAATTGCATTACTACACTGCATTGCAGGATGAGATTTAATTCATCTTTTGGAACAACAACAAAGATTACTCTAAGTTCCATTCATATTGCACTAGTTGTTGGCCACACTAAATTTTAATTTATTTAAAAAAAAAATTGTTTGCTGCAGGATTTTAATGAAATATTCATGTCTTCCGTCACTATAGATTATTATTAAATTTTTTGTGATTGTCTACAAGTATACACGATTGAAAGCACGAAACATCAATGTAATTACAATCATAGTGTCCTTTATATGCATTTTAATTTGCATCTTGTATTGCTTGTACGCATGCATAATATTCGATGTACATCTATACAAGCATTGAATATTTCCCATGTATAATTTGTATATTATGTGATATTTTTATTTCCATACCTTTACTGTATGTTCATTACTGCTTCCAACTGAATGAGCATCAATACTTGGTGCAGAAATAGAATAAGCTGCTGGACCACCAGCACGTGCACTTACAACTAAAGCTGCTAAGATGATAAAGTACTGCAAAAGAACAAAAAAGAGGAAAATTTCATATTAGAAAAAATCACCAATATAAAACTTAGAATTTAATTTTTTTATTATTCTTAGCAAAATAAAAATACTTTTAAAATAAAAACTAAAATTCTTAAGTTCAGTTAAAAAGTTTTCGAAGCGTAAAAATTAATGTTTATAAAATACTTTCCATTTGTGTTACAACTACGAAAATCTTTTAGAAATTAATTTTTATCCTTTTATTTTTAAAAACTATTAAGAAAACTGTAATCAAAGTGCTAAACTAATTAGCAACCATATTATTGGATCGAGATTATCAATTAGTGCATGAGTGTAACATAATGTGAAATTCATATTGCATGACTATAAAATGCAATTGCTTTTTCATATGAGATCTTAATGACAGGAAAATTTTATTGTCAAATATTGTTAAAAGTTACGTTCTCATGCAATTCTTTTTAAAATCAAAAAGAAAAGAAAGATTATAAAACTTGGACTTTTAAATTTTTCCCTACAAAACTTATAGCGTGCACTGAGAACGTTATTACAGAGTGAAAGTTAAATGATTTGTGACGCATACAACCATATTTTGAGATTACAAGCTCATTGTACATAGCAGCAACTTAATTCCAGGATATTAACATCTGTGTAGCAGAATTAGAACTGTTCCTTTCCTTCTTAATGACAGAAAGTTAAAAGTTTACTTAGAATTATTAGATATACGAGAATTAAAATCTATCCTTGATCCTAAATACCTATACCGAATTGATTCACAAAAAGAACCTTAAATAATGAGGAGAACGGGACGCCTTAAAAAAATTATATAAAATCACCCTATGTGATTCACCCTAATCAGAGTAATGCATTTGAAGCAAAACATATTATTTTATATTTTCAAATTAGTACAGGTCTAGTCTAAACAAAAGGGATACATAATACGTTCGGATTGCTACTTAAATATAGAATATACAGTGAAACCTACATATATGATGTCATTTGCCAATGACACTTTCGTTTTCAAATATAAGAAGCCCATACAAGTTAACATGTTATTGAAACTTAATTCTTTAAACGTGTTTACGGGGCACACAAAAATTTGAGGAGGTAAAATTTAAATCGCAGTTCTCATATTTTTAAAAAAGTGTAGAGTAGGATGTATAATTGTTAAGTTATTGATAGTAATCTTTGGAGCAAATGAACAAAAAAAGAGATAAAGTTAAATTTTTAAAAAAATTTGTAAATAATTTAACTTACAAGCCATCCATATTCATGTACGCTAAGTAGCTCAATATACGAACTCCACACATACATTCACAAACAAATTTTTGAATATTTTTTGAAAATACTTGCAGACTTGAAAGTGTAAAGAAATCGCATATATACAAGAAAGACGGGAGATTTCAAAACTTTAAATAATATCCTTGATGTCTTAATATTAAAGAAATTATTTCAAGGATAACATTCTTCTAATGCGATATTAAATTTTCTTTCAAATTTATCTCTTTAGTTTTTAAGCACATAATTCAATTTTTAACTTTTTAAATTTTACTAATAAACTTCTTCATTGAAAATTTTAAAAATGGATTCCATTACTCTCAATAAGCATTTACAAATTAACATAACAATAAAGTTATCCTTTAACACTGGAAAATTTTTAACATACAAGACGTATGAATGTATGTATGTACCTTAATTGAAAATTCTTCTCTTTGGGGTTTTCACATAATGTTTTCATTTAACTTGTTAAACAATGGCGTTTAACCGCATAGCAAAAATTTTCTGTTAATTTTGATGTTAATGACTTAAAAACTTGCTCCTTCTCCTCCAACATATAAGAAGTAATTTTTTAACTACTTACTGTAGTTGTTCCTTAATTATACACTATAATTTAAAAATTTTGAATAAATTTAAGTGAAGCATTGAATATCTCTGGAAAATAATCATTCAAACTATATTTACAAAATAAATTTTAATTTTTTTGTTGTAACAAGCATTCTAATGAAAAATTAAGTTACCATTATTCTATTAAAAACTTAAAAACTTTTCAATCCTATTATAAAAACTTTCATTTTCAATTTTTCAATTTCTTATAAATTCTCATCTAAGTCTAACATTAATTTTCAATATAGCCCCTGCATATGCATAAATGTTTATGTGTGTTTACTACAGTGAAATTCCAATTCGTGCGAGGATATTGTAGTATACGACCACTAAAAATTTCAAAAAGTTATTTTGGTTACGTAAAACTCACATATTTATAAACATGACATAAAAAAACCACTTAACTTTTCTGTATATGCTTTCAAAAAGTTATTGAAATGCCATATTAGAAATTATTATTTGTAGGTTTTGTTAAGTTGAGTGTAGAGTGAAAAAGGATATCAGTAAATATTTCGTGTGGTAATACAAAAAAAATAATAATAATACCTTATCGTTGAACAACGAGAGAAAAAGAAAGATCAAAACAACAATTCAATATTTTCTGTTTACGTTTACGGTAAACGATAAGGTAAAAAAATAATAAATTCGAGTCAAAGCCAGAGATTTGTAAAATAGCACATTTCCTCAAAATATTATTTGCATTATTTTCAATACATGTTTTCTTGCATACTTTGCGGATAAGACGGGAAAATTAAGGAGTAACCAACATAATGATGCAAATAGCAAACCCGGTAAATTAAAGCATACTTTTACGTTTTCAAGATAAGAAAGCAATAACAGTAACTTTTTGTTATTCGATAAAGATTTGATGGATTTGATGGATTATATAGTTTGGAAAACAATTCTTACCGAAGCTTGAAATTTCCTAAATTTTGGAACTGATAACTCGAGAAAGGAAAGAGAGAGTACAAAGAATATTATTATAGTAAATGAACGATTTTTAAAAGCTTAGATAATATTAAAATTCCCTCGATAACTTAACCCCTTAAAAGGAAAATTAAAATATTAAAAATTTTAATGAAAACGAGTTTAAGATCATTTTTGCTTTCTACCTTTACGACCTTAAAACAAAAAAACGAGTTTAAGATCATTTTTGCTTTCTACGACCAAAGCCCTTACATTGGGCATAAAACCACAAGATAAGAAATATATGAAAAAACGTTTATAAAACCAATTTGTTCTAATATAAAATAAAGTCAAGTTCACGACTAAGCTTGTGGGTATAGCCACCCAATTTTCTTATGCACATTTTAATTGTTTATATGAAAATTTTATACAAAATTAATCAATCGTAACCTTACAAATACACAAGAAATGTGGTTATTTCGACAATTTCATAATTTTTAAGTAAAGTACAATACCGATACGTAGATGGAAAAAGAAGTAGAAAGAAAACTATTTCAAGTCTTGTTTATTACACGGCAAAGTAATAATTTTTTTCATGCAAGTTAAATTTCAGTTTCTGATACTTCATCTGCAAATTCATTCAAAGATTTCATCTATACATAAAACTTAGTTGTTGTTTCCGCGACTTTTATGGATTTTCTGAGTTCATTATATGTGGAAGATGAAGAAGATAGAGATGAAATTTCTTTTTCTTTGAATATATACCTAATTAAATCAATAGTAAGTCAAATTTTGAAAATACACTAATTTTAAAGAGAATTTTAAGTTAATAGAATTCGTGAAGTTGGACTACAAAATTTCCAAATATAATTTTATATTATGCGTGCTTCTTTAAGTATGCAAAACGTTAATATTTAACAATTTTCTCTTATAACAAAGGCAAACGAAAATGCATGCCAAAATCTAAAGATTATAAAGGTAATTAAATTTAATTATTTTCTACTATTTTTAAAAAAGTTTTTCTTTAGAAATGATAGTTAATCCTTTTACGGTTTAGTCTTGGAAATAAACATTTGAAAAAAAATAAAACCTCTTCTTAATTTAAATATGCATGAGTTTTCCCAATTCATATTGAATTAGAAATGCTATTTTTTTGTAGAAAATTAACATTGGTTTTTTATAAAACTTTTGAAAATTTAGAAACTCTTACTCCAATAAATCAAATAGCGTATTGTGGTCTAGAACGTGAAATGTGGTTTTAGTTTTCCCTGTATTCTATGTCTTTTCGAAAATTATTATAGAAAGTGGAAAATTAGTTTTTGCAATCTTTGTGCATACGTAGAACATTTGCATTCGATATGGAAATTTTATATTGTACTATATGGCGTACTAGATTCGTATATATGCCTTTTCCCTTATAACTTCAATTAAATATTTTTTTTCCTTTTCTTTATTATTTCAAGTATAAATTTATGCTTTAAAACTTTAACAGCTACTCGTATTTCATATATGATAAAAAAACTTTATATATTTGATTTTATATATTTTTTGCTATTCGGTTATCGTATTTTTATTTTTGACACTTCATGCCTTTCATTACATTCTTAAACGTCAAATTAAGTCAGCTTGGTTTGTCTTTTTTCTACAGACAGACTGAGATCTGAGCAATTTGTATTTTGTCTGCTCACATATTATAATCATCTTAAGCACGGGGATAAATTCTTAAACGGGAGGTAATACTTGAAACCTAAATGGCAACAAGTTATATATCGGTGTAATTGTAGCCTTACGAATACATATCCGATAATCCAAAAATAACTCAAAAAATACCAAATATTCACGAATAGTCTGTAGTTATTAATACCATCAGAGCCTCATAATTCGAGTGCTATAACTAAAACGGTCCAGCTGCAACGGTTCATCGTATATATACCAAAAACTTTTCGGGGTGCAAAATAAAATTTTTGCAACGAAAAATACATTGCCATTAATTTGGCTAAATGTTACATAAATTCTGAGAATTCTTATAATAACGATCATGCAAATCTAAAAATTGTTCAGTCTTATCCACGAAGCTATTGAAAGAATAAAGTTAGAATCTTGCATAAACAAATTTTATATAATATGGCAATTATTTCCTTTTAAAGTAGTTAAATCATATATGAATTCGTATGGCAACCACTATACAAATTTACGAGGTATTTGCCAATGTCTCAGAAACT